TTACCTTCTCGAGGATCTTAGCTTCAGCCCTTCCCTGCTCATGCTCCAGCCCAGGAGAGGAGGGAGGGAGGAGACGGCAGCGAAGAGGGTAGAGAATTAATTGGACATTGTGTTGGGAATCGCCTCCTGGTTGCTGTCAGTCTTGGGAGTGAACAGCCTCTTGTCTCACTCAATAGGAACTTTATATGCTCCTTTAATCCTTCAGTCCGTATTGTCAGAGCTTCCCCCCTCCTCCTGTCTCTCCTTCCCACCGCAGGACTTTTGATGACCCCAGCTGTCTGAGGCAATACAAAGAAGCCCCTTAACTAACACCCTGTGATCTATACAGGCAATAAAGAGCTCCCCTTGACAAGGATTTGCGGGCAGAATATATGCAAATGCCGGGAGGTGGGCGGGTGGGGAGGTGTGCCGAAAAAGCCGCTGTGCAGCGGGGCACGGCTCACGGTCCCGGGGATGCGGTGGCCCAAGCGGGGACAGGGTGCAGGTGAAGGATGGCCGGAAAAAAACGTGGCTGGCCAGGGCTGGCTGGGCATCGCACACTCTGCCACAGGCCAAAGCAAAAGGGAGTGCCTCGCTCATCCCAGCTGCAAGGCCAAGGCATCCATGGGCACCTAAATGGGGGGCTCGCTTTGCTCCTCGACGGCCACCTCCCGAAGTCAGGAGGCCATGCTCCTTCCCACATTAGCACATGAATGGGGTTGGGGTGGGGGGGAGGCGGGAAGGGGGGCAAGCCCCCACTGTCCACTCAAGCAAACAATTTGGCTAGCAAATTGACATAATTACAAGGGACAGAGAGAAAAGAAAGGCGAGCCCCCTCCCCTGCGCTCCAGAGGGCCCGACCCCTGCGGAGTTACTTAGACCCTTTGTGCTACTCAATGCTAGGTACTGACGAGGGGACGTATGCCCTTTTCAAGGGCCCTAAGCGACCGGCTGCCCTAATCTGATTACAATTTACAGGCTCCTTCAGAAGGGGCCGGAGCAGCGCGCTCGCATGGACACGCCAGGTCCGACACGCACGCCTGCGCCGGCGCGAAGGTAGAAGGATGTGGATGGCAAAGGTCGATGGGTGTGTGAGGGCACGCCAGCACCACCAGCAATGGGGACAACGTGGTTCTCAGCGTGCCAGCCGCGCGCGGTCAGTAAGGCTGAAGGCACAAGCACGGGGACACAGGGGTTTGTACATACGGGGCACGTCGCAGTGGGAGATCAGCCACTGCCGAGAAAAAAAGAAAGATTCAAGAAAGATGAGGAGCTACTGGAGAGAGTCCAGTGGAGGGCTATGAGGATGATGAGGGGACTGGAGCATCTCTTCTACGAGGAAAGCCTGAGGGAGCTGGGCTTGTTCAGCCTGAAGAAGAGAAGGCTGCGAGGGGACCTAATATATGCTTAGAAATATCTCAAGGGTGGGTGTCAGGAGGATGGGGCCAAACTCTTTTCAGTGGTGCCCAGCGACAGGAAAACGGGCAACGGGCACAAACTGAGGCACAGGAAGTTCCGTCTGAACATGAGGAAGAACTTCTTCCCTCTGAGGGTGACGGAGCACTGGAACAGGCTGCCCAGGGAGGTTGTGGAGTCTCCTTCTCTGGAGATATTCAAGACCTGCCTGGACAAGGTCCTGTGCAGCCTGCTGTAGGTGACCCTGCTTTGGCAGGGGGGTGGGACCAGATGCCCCACAGAGGTCCCTTCCAACCCCGAACATTCTGTGATTCTGTGAATGAGCCTGTTTCAGCCCAAACGTGGGGCTTGCACCCTGTACCTGCACCCAAGCACACCAGCATGCACATGGGCACAGGCGTAAGCACACGAGCTGCCTTCTCCCAGGCAGGCCCACAGACAGGGACTCTCTGCAGAGGCACGGGGGTTCCCACCAGCACTGGGGGACAGGGGAGGAGAGCAACACCTTCCCTCGAAATCTCCGCAGCAGCTCGCAGGAGCGCGAGTGCGAGCAAAGCCCACCACCTGCCTATTAAAAGCAGGATTAAATGGTGCTATTCCCCCCCTCCCCGCCCCTTCCCGCTCTCTCTAACATCATCCCCTTGGGGAAACTACCACCTCTACATGAGATTTTCCTTTTTGTTTTTTGTCAACCTCTTTTCTGCTCCCGTGCCCCATAGATCCCAGGGGATTAGCAGCCAGTCTGGGCCTTCCAGCCTCCTCGAAGGCGGGTTGTTTCAGCCAGCCCCCCCATGGGAACCTGCCCCAGGACAACTTCGGTCAATGCCTCCGGTGCTTCCCAGCCAATTTGTACCACCTAATCCCCGCGGGTATCGACAGCCCCTTTCTCACACCGAGCTGGAGCAGCCCAACCCTCTTCTCTCCGTGCTCCCCCGTTGAGAAGCTCTCTGTCCACCGCCGAGGCCGCGACCGCACTTCAAACGCGCCAGCCCGACCCCGTCATTGTTTGGCAGGGAATTAAAACTGCAAGGCCAGCCCCAGCGAGTGATTTAGGTACTGAGACCAGACTGAGCCCCGCGAGAGCACGGGCAATAAAACGCTTCGCTGCCCAGCAGCCTGGGCAATTTAGGTGTCTTCCCACGAGGAGGAGGCAGGGCGGGGAGGGACGGGGAGCGGGGTCGGGGCTCCTTCTGCTGGCACGCGCACATGGGGTCGGACCATCTCCTGGCGCTCGGAGACCTGCCCCACCAGAGATGCGGGCTGGCCACATCGCTAAAGCAACAAGAGTTGCTCAGTCTTCGCAGTTACTGATCCCTGCAGTCCCTTGCAAGATGCCGGGAGGAAAGACCAGAGGCCACGCGGGCTGGACATGGTGTCCCCGTGGTGGGACAGTCACTCCCTGGGGGCTGACATGGCTGGATGCTGGCTGATCTGGGAGGTGGCCAGAGGGTCAGATGGGGTGGGACAGAAGGGCACTGGTCCAGTGATGTGGTAAGCAATGCAGTGCCCAAGAGGTTTGCTTCTGCTTTCAGGTGGTGTTGAAGACTTGCAGGAAAAAGTTTAGGACTCCAGTTTTGAAATGAGATTGTCTACAGAGCCTGTCACTAAATGTCCCTGTGATGGTTTCTGACGGGCTCTGTGGACGAAGCTGTGAACAGAAAATGGCTGTGACATCCTTTCCCCAGTGCAAAGAGGCTGGGAGGAGATCTCCTTCCTTCAGCAGATCCCAGCACAGGGAAATCGGAAATTGCTCCCCATTTTCCCATCCCTGCCCTGGGGAAACGGTGCAGGTCAACGTACTCTGAGCCTCTGCAGGGATCATTCTCTGGAGACTGTTTCTAACCCCTGTCAGACATCTCCTTTGCCATCATAACAGAATATACAATACACCACCAGCTGGCAAGAGGGCTAGAGCTCCTAACAGCCCAGGTACGGTATTTCTGAATTTCCTCTTAGCCAACAACCCCTTTCCCTGCATCCCACACCGTTGCTGTGCTTGAGACCTTGCCTACGGAGAATTTTAGGCCTTTTCTTATTTTGTCACCCTTCTTTCTTCCAACAGCGAGGTTGTCTCAGGCCAGAGGCAATGCTGGTTCAGAAGGGATCATCCCCTGTGCCTGGCTGTCCCCATCCCCGTACCATGGCGGGTGAACACAGTGTTTCGGCGCCTCCTCCTGTCACAATGTTTTTCAGCTCCACCAAGCAAAGTGTCCAATTAGAGCAGAGCCTCTTGCTTCCATCTTTGCCGACATTTAATTAACATGCTGCTGCTGGCAGCTGCTGACAAATTCCAGAAACATGTTGCAAAGGGTTTTTGTCTTTACCCAGCATGGAAAATGAGGGTGTCATATCCCAAGGGGATGTGAATAGCTACTTTTGACTCCCCCCCTCAGGTGTGAGAATTACAGCTAGATACGGTGAAGAGACCTATCAGCCCTCCTACCTTCTTCCCCCCCCCTTCCTTTTCCTCTTCTGCTCCTCAATCATATCACCCTGGAAAACACACAGGTTTTAGGCCTAATTTTCATTCCTGTCTCCTCCAGCTCTGGCTGGAGCCTGATGGTCCGGTTAAGAGCCTGGGGCTGTGCTCTGGCTTTGGGCTCGTCCCATCAAGACAGCACCGGTAAGGGGAAGGAATGGTCCGACAGCGCTGGGAGGAATGGCTGAACCCAAAGCAGAGGACAGGGCCATGCCAGCCTGCACCATACGCGCAGAAAAAGGCTCCCAGGTAGCTGCTGGAGGCCTCAGCAGAGCAGCTGAGAAGGTGACGGCGGGGGGATGTAGCAGCGTAGCCAGCCTCTGGCCCTC